CCAGGCAATCCTCTGTTTAGTTTTGGACAGGATAGGGAAGGACTATATTAAGCTGATTTTACTGTAGTCTATGACCCCACATGATAGATGTCATACCAGGAAGTGATCAGAAATCTCTAAATTGGGGACATAGAGAGCAAACAAAAATATTTTTCAGAAAAACTGGTAAGGGTTCTCACTTTCAAAATTATATTTTAGCCAAAAACAAGAGAGGGGGAGGTGGATTGCTGTACTTAGAAATATTTCACATAGCAGCATTTTTAATGCAGATTACTGACTCTTTCACAAATGTATAATTTGTTAGACATTACACATTTGTATAGTGCCATATAATTTATAATAACATTTTTATTCCTTTTTCATACAATCTTTGTGGAGCAGACACTTGTTTTAGGGTGTACTTTTTCTTGTGGGTTTTGTATTTTGTTTTGGTTCCCTTGTCTGTACACTTAGTGATGTTGGTTTGTATTTTGAAGATAATCATTACCATTTGTGCCTTTTTGTGCTGGTGACAACCGCTATTATCTCAGGGACAGGAAGTGAGGTGACCTCAACCTAAAATGGTCAAAGACAACAGTAAAAGTTTGACAGATGTATTTACTCTTCCCAAGTCAATCCTAAATTTAAAAAAAGTTTTGGTTGTAATTTGGAGAACTTGCAATTATTTGGATTTTCTTTTTTTCAGTGTACTGTATATCTAAAATAGTAGGTTGTTTGTGGGTGTGTTTGGTGAAAGGTTCAGGGTTCTGAGCTTAAGCATTTTTGAACACCTTTTTTTTGCATTATAAAAACTGTCTATGGTTTTCACGCATGTCCTGGAGAATGGGAAGGATAATGGAGGATTGGATTTTAAGTGTGCTGTTTGGGGACAAGGTTCACGCAAAAGACAGTGACATGTTTTGAAGGTAGAACTGGGGATCCCCCCTCCCCCCCCCCACCAACTTCTCTATGTAGCACCTGGCAGTGTCAACATGTCAATGCTGTCACATTTAAACCAAAAGTAGATCTGAATCAAAAGCAAGTATTACAAGAGTTGTTAGCATAATCAGTACACTACTAGGGACCAAATCTGCCAATATCAGTTGCCAGGGGAAAAGGGGGCATCAGTACTGTAATTACCATTGTAAGCCCCTCTAGTTAGCCAGGGGAGCTAGCTAGGTTTTTTAGTTAGAGCCTGGATAGCAGCCTGGGATGAGTCAGCCAGGTTAAATTTAGGTCATGGCTGAGGGCTCTGCAGGTCAGTTCCCTGATACCTCCCCCTGCTCTAGATGCTTGAGAAGTTTCTAGAAGGCAGTTTCCCCAAGAAGGAGGCTTGGCATGGGGTCAGGACAGCGCTTAAGTATGAGAGAGCCTGATCGGGGCAATGTGTGTCGGGTGGAAGATTGGGAGTGAGGAGTTGGAGTTTGGAGCCTGGGAGGGAGTTGTGGGAGAAGAAGATCTCCACTGTGCCACCATCTCCAAAGGAGGAAATCCTGAAGCAGGGAAGGAGCCAGCCCAGTGAAAGGCCTGAAGGCAACCAGCAACCCATTAAGCTTGCAGGAAAAGACAGCGTGAATACACCCCCTGGGCCCATTTAGGGAGAGAGGGCAGTCAGGTGAACTCAATTAGCTTCTCATCCAGGATTACTGCTTTAAATTGGCAGCTTCTGGGCCCCCTTGCTCAGGGAATATTCTCGGGCAGCTGTGTGAAGAGGAGGATTCATCTGGGGTCTGAGGAGGTACACCAGAGAGCTGGAACACTCCTAAAGGAGAGACTATTCTTTTTGTCCACATCTGTACATAGTTGCTAAGGGAGTGTGTCCTCACCTTTCTACAGTTATTTGGGCATTCCATACACCCATCAACCCCATCCAAGTTCTAAACCCCTTAATAAAATCACAAAACCAAGCTCAAGGACTCTTTACTGTCTCCAGCATGCAACGTTTGAAAGAAAATGCGTGTTGCCTGGCTGTGCAGAGCTATAGGGTGACCCAAAACTCAGAGACTCCTACGGGGTAGTACTACACCATTTACCCTTCATTTTCAGCTTACTACCCTGTCCTCAATAGCTCAGCAGTATTTTTCAGCATCAACTGATCTTTTTAGGGGTATAACATTTCAAGGTCTTGGTGTAAATTATAAACCCCACACCACCTCATCCCTTTCACCAGCACAGTAAGCAAGTGCTGAATGTCATAGTATAATACCCTTAATCTCTAATTAGCTCCAGGAGCCTCCTTACTGGGGCCCACCTTCATGGCCTATAAATGATCAATTCCATAATATATATGGTGGAGAAGATGTTGCTGGAGAAGGAGGGAAGGAGTACAAAGAGTAGAGAAAGAAAGAGTTAGAAGTTTTAAAGCATATCTAAGCCCAAAAACAAAAAAATGATGATGAGCTTACAGTACTTGTCCGTAGATGTGGTTACTGCATTTGTTTTCTCTTTTTCTGGTAATCCTGTCATTAACACAATTCCTGTTCTAGGAAAGCAACTATACTAAGTGATAGGATTTCTGGCTGAATAAACAGCTATTTTGTTGTACTTTTCAAACAAACATAGCAAAACACCATCAACTGTATATTTAACAAAAAAAAAATAGAGCAAATTAGAAAAATTCATCATTAGAGTTTGCATACACTTTAATGATAATCAACCAGCCTTTGGAAATATAAAAAGCTAAACCAAGATGACATTAACACTGCCTGCTCTGAAATATAGCTATCCCTTTTCATGCTCCAGTAATTGAAGCCAATGCCCTTGACTATATTTTAATTGAGGTTTTTTTATACTTCTGTTTGAAGATGTGCTTTGTTTTTCTTCAATGCTACACTTGCATATTTTTATTTTGATAGCATTATTAACGTTTGCCATCTTTCTTTTATAACAGATTGTGAATCTTTTCCTAATTAGCAATCAATGAAACTTATATAAAAAGAAAGGACACTCTGTCCATCATGCTTATGATCACCTCTATACATCTGAAAATACAGAGAGAAATATGGATCTAAATTCAGTTTTTTTTAGATAACCATAAGTGCAAGGAAGAGAAGACATTCAAAAGCATAGACTAGTGTAAATATTACACATACTACAGGGCAAATTGGATGGGAAAAGGAACATTACATGTTACAAGGCCAATTTACAACAAGTGGAGAACAGACAAGAAGGAAGCCTCCAGCAAATAATCAAGTTTTACAAACACAACAGCAAACGGGTTTGGTCACTATGGGGTAGGGTAATGTTCTTGGGGCATGTTTTACATTATAGTGAAAGATTTACACACCTTTGAATGTTTGGTGAATGTCAAATTCACTTCTTTATAAATAATCCTGTGTAAATTCCAATTCCTTTTAAGTTTCTTTGAATTTTTTGTGTGTGTGGGAAAGGAGGGGTGGGGGATTTAGACACACTGTCTCTTATGTGGGCTTTGGATACCAATGAAAAGAAGTACATGGCTGATACTTGCCAGAAACATTTGTACCTTGTAACTGAGGCTTAATGTTATCTACCATTTGGATTTGCAGATTCTTTTACACCATAAAAATAAAAAAGTGAAAAAAATAAAATTATATGTTACAGTAATGATTGCGGATTACTAGTTCTGAATATAATATCCTGTGCACAATCAGAGCGCTGTGGGTAGAGCAGCATGTCAGCCTGTTAGGAATGGACTGGCCAGCAATGGTGGGACTCACCTGCCTTTTGATCTGCAGTACCAGGGCTGGCCAGCGGGTGCTCCCAGCAATCAGAGACTCAACCTTTCAGCCAGCTAACACCTGGAACTGATGATACTGGTGTATTTAAGGGATGGCCAGACTTGCAGACTCTGCCTTGGTGTTGTGTTTGTCCTGGGCCCTGTATCTGTCCTGCATCCTGTTTCTGTTCCTTTGCTGACTTCTCCTGCTCTGATCCTGGCTTGTGACCCTGACCATCCCTCTGTCTGACCCTCTGTACTACGCTGCTTGCTACCTGTTCTGATCCCTGGCTTGTGACCCGGACCATCCCTCTGCCTGACCCTCTGTACTATGCTGCTTGGTGGCTGCCACAGGGAAGCCATCATGGCTTGTTGATGGGAAAGGATGGATCTTGATGAGTGTTTGAGTATATTTTATATCTGCTAGTGTTTGATGACAGGGAGTATGCTTATCAAAACTCTGAAGGAGTATACCCGGGATGAATTGCTAGAATGTATACGGCTCCGCTCATGTTCTAGTAGATCCAGGGCACAGTGTTCTCTGAGGTGCAGCAATTGATTGAGGTTTGTGCAGAGTTGGTTTCATCTGGTTCCCCCGAATGCAGGGATGAATTTTTGCCACCATTAGTGCAGACCAGGTAGAGTCCCTGGTGTGGTTAATAGAGGATGATGTGGGTTACTTTCTGGAGCGTTATTCCACATGTTCACCACAGACACTGAGAGATTGTATTAACGCAGTGCAGTCATTGACCATGACAGGCTTTGTGTAAGCTCAGCTTTGTTCAACCCATACTGCAGACATGGACAGACTTGTTTTTTGCACCAGCCCTCAGTCAGCTTACAAAGACCCAGTCCTGCTTCTAACTCTACTCCTGTATTCCCACCAGCTCCTCCAGTTACAGCCCAGTATACTTGGCTATCTACCGCATGTCAGTACCCTGTTCCCACTCGCTGCACCTATATCCTGCCTTTAAACCCTGTAAAAAAGCCCTCTGTAGCAACTGCTCCCTCTCCTGTTCCATCCTCCAGTTCTCCTCTGTCTCCAGCTGCTCCATTCGTTTGCAGACCTGCGTTTACTTGCAGTGCTCCAGTAGTTAAAACCAGAAAAAAGCGAAAATTCTTTCCAACCAATACCATCCTGCCAGTATCCAAACCGGTGAGCCTGCCTTCCGTGGTACAGCCTGATGCCTCTCTTCAGCCTGATGCCTCTCTTCAGCCTGATGCCTGTACGCAGCCTGATGCCTCTACTCGGCTGAAGCCTCTACGCGTCCTGAAGCCCTCTCCTCAGCCTGAAGCCTCTACTCGGCCTGAAGCCTCTACTCGGCCTGATGCCTGTACTCGGCCTGAAGCCTGTACTCGGCCTGATGCCTGTACTCGGCCTGAAGCCTCTACGCGGGCCTGGAAGCCTCTCCTCAGCCTGAAGCCTCTACACGGCCTGAAGCCTCTACTCAGGCCTGATGCCTGTACTCGGCCTGATGCCTCTACTCAGTACATGATGAACTGATCCAGCTGAACGATCTATTAGGCCAGTTGACTCGATGCCCGCTGTTGATCCAGATGATCCGGTACCTGATCCGGTGCCCGCTGTCGTGCCAATTGACTCAGAGCCCGCTGTCGTAACCTGGTGACTTCGGTGCCCACTGCCTTGCCAGATGACGCTGGTGGCCCGCTGGCAAGCAAAATGACCTGATGCCTGGTGGAACCTAGTGTCCCGCTGTCATACCTGATGACCCGATGCCCGCTGTCGAGCCAGACAATCCTGGTACCTGATGACCCGGTGCCCACTGTCGTGCCTGTTGACTCGGAGACCACTGCCTTGCCAGATAAACGCCGGTGGCCCGCTGTCGAGCCAAAGACCTGATGCCTGGTGACCCATTATGCCCGCTGTCCAGTCAGAACGATCCAATGTCTGGAACACCAGTGCCCCTCGGTCATACCAGTATTTGGACTCGGAGGCCCAATGCCTTCCCAGATGACGCGGTTGCCCAGCCGGTCTAGCCAAAAGACCTGATGCCTGGTGACCCTGATATGCCCGCTGTCCAGCCCAGACGATTCAATTGTCTGCCCCGGTGCCCGCGGTCCCCCCAAGCCAGTTGACTCTGAAGTCCCCACCTGCCTTGCCAGATAACGCTGTGCTCGCAGTCGATTCCAAATGACCATTGGAATGCCTTGGTGACCACAGATGCCCCACTGCCCGCTGTCCGGATCAGACGATCCAATGTCTTAACCCAGTGCCTGCGGTCACTAACCAGATTGACTCGGAGGCCCACTGACTTGCCTGGGTTGGTTGTCTCGGGTGCCCTGCCCGCTCCGCCTGGGGCCCGAGACCTGTAGCTCCGCTTGGGGTGTCCAGGCCCCTGCCGCTCCGCTGGGGATGGATCCTGGCGCCCGCTTGCCCCGCCTGGGGCCTGAGGACCTGTCGTCTCCGCCTGAGTGGCCCGGAGACCTGTCGCTCTCGGCCTGGGGTGGTCCGGCACCTGCCACTACTCCTCTCATTCCGCCTGAGGGCCCGAGACCCTGTCGCTCCATCTGGGTGGTCCTGTGCGCCCGCCGCCTCCGCCTGATGGCCCGATACCTGTCCGCTCCTCCACTGGGGGTCCGGCGCCCGCCTCTCCGCGAGGGCCCGAGACCTGTCGCTCCCGCCTCTCTGGGGGTCCAGGCGCCTGCCCGCTTCCCGCTCTTGAGGGCTCCGAGACCTGTCGCTCCACCGATGGGGGTCCGGCGCCCTGCCGCATCCGCCCTGAAGGGCCCCGAGACCTGTTCTCTCCTCCTGGGGGCCCGGTGGGGGCCTGTCGAGCACCTCCCGAGGAGTCCGCGAGTGCCTGTCGCCCACGCCCGGGGGTTCGGTGCCTTGACGCCCCGCTCGTGTGCCCGGTGCCTGTCGCCCCGCCCGGGCTCGGTGCCTGCTGCCCCGCCCGGGGGTTCGTGCCTGCTGCTCCCGCCCGGGGGCCCGGTGCCTGCTAGATCCGCCCTTGGGCCCGGTGCCTGCTTAAAAATCCGCCCGGGGGCCCGCTGCCTGCTGCTATCCCGCGTGGTCCCCCTGCCTGCTGCCCCCGCCCGGGGGTTATTTTGCCTAGCTGCTCCCCCGGGGGCCCGGTGCCTGCTGCTATTTACCGCATTTTTTTATATATATTGCCGCTATATCCGCCCGTGGCCCGCTGCCTTATATATATTTCGCCAGGTAATATATCCGATTGCCTCTGCCCGGAGTCCTGCCCGAATTTGCCCTCTATGCCCAATGAGTACCGCCCGATGTAATTTCTAATTCGAGTCCTGCCGATGTGCATAAAATGGCTTTAAAGTCCTGCCCGATGTGCCTCTTAAATGCCCGAGTTCCTGCCCGATAATGCCTCTGCTCGCGGAGTCCTGCAACCGATTGCCTCTGCCTGGAGTCCTTACCTATAATGTGCCTCTGCCAAATCGGTGTAAAATTTATCTGCCCGGATTTCCTGCCCAGATAATGCCTTTACATCCCCGGAGATCCATATCCACATGTGCCTTCTGCCCGGAGTCCTGCCCGATGTGCCTCTTGCCCGATAAAATATCCTCTGCCTGTAGTACCATGCCTCGATTATGCCACATGCCCTGTGTGCCTATTGTTGATTCTCGATTCGAGCCGCGCTCGGCAGTCCTGCTGTCGGTGTGCCAGTCTTTGATACCACGCTCAGTTTTGCCAGACCCGGGCGAGGTGGAACATTTTGCCCAGCTAGGACTGTTTGGAGCGTCTGTGAGGCCGCTCCTTTCGATGGGCCGTATGGTAGGTTAACTGGATTAGGAATGGCGGACTCTGGGTCCATCAATGGTTGGGACTTCACCTGCCTTATGATCTTGCAGTACACAGGGCTGGCCAGCGGCGTGCTCCCAGCAATCAGGAGGATCTCAACCTTTCAGCCAGCTAAACACCTGGAACTGATGATACTGGTGTATTAAAGGGATGGTCCAGACTTGCAGACTCTGCCTTGGTGTTGTGTGTTTGGCCTGTGGGCCCATGTATCTGTTCCCTGCATCCTGTTCTGTTCCTTTTTGTGCTGACTCTCTCATGCCTCTGATCCATGGCTTGGTGCACCTCTGACCATCCCTCTTGTCTGACCCTCTGTACTACGCTGCTTGCTACCTGTTCTGAATCTCCTTGGCTTGATGACCCGGAACCATCCCTCTGCCTGACCCTCTGTACTAAGCTGCGTGCTACCTGCTTGAACCCCTGGCCTGTGACCCTGACCATTCTCCGCTTGCTCCCCCTGTTACTCTACCTGCCACAATTTTTTTGATATTGGACCCACGGCCTGCCTGACAGACGCTTGCTGTGTATCCTACTGTTTATCTGTGGGGTGGTTTGGGTTTTGGTTTGTTTGTCAACCGTATTATGTTTAGTATTGCACTGCGTTTATGTTTGTAATTGTTTAGTGTTTAATAAATTATGATTGGTTTTATTAACATATCTGAGGGTCTGCGTTTTCCGCTGCTTCAGTCACACACCTTCTGGTCATACCTTTGAGCCCTGACACAGCCCCTTCTCTTTTACGCTTTCCTAAAAGAACAAAGATTTGATGCAACAAGGTAATCGAAGGATTTGGTGAACTAATTGCTGATGCTCTAGTTGTAATCTGCATTTAAACGTTTGTGTTATGTTGATGAAAACATCCCAAAGAATCAATTTTCAGTGGTCTTCAGTTAAATGTGGCTTTTAAATCCAATTTCATACTAAATATGGATTTTATGCATTGTAATGATGTTTTGAATAAAAAAAGAATACAATTAAACAATGGGAATACTAAAAATGCCGTGCACAAGGTACCACACTTTAAGCTGGCCATGCATGGTTTGAATATTCAGCAGGAAATTCAAGCCATGGGTAGCCCTGTCAGCAAAGTTGCATTGATCTGGGCTAAATGGAATAATACAATTGGTTGGCAAGAGTATATTCCACCAGCCATGCTGTCTAGCGTGGATTGGGGAGTCCAAATGGTTTCTCTCATTCAGCCAGTCACATACATACAGTATCTACTTCTATCAAAAAAAGGAAGAAAAGAGACTTATTCCTTGTTTCAATATAGTGATCTATGCAAGTCAAATCTTTACGTTATGCCCCTTGGTCAACAGTAAAGGTTTGTATGCTGTATATATACTGTTTGAGTATATTAACAGAAAAACATTTTATATACTTCAAATTATATAATCACTGAAAATCGTGTATCATGATAGATGAACAATACAACACCATGGCAGTCTGCACAATGATTGAAGTGACTACATTTAGATGTGATGATCTCCTGCTGTCTATTCTCAGAAATAACAGTGTTCTTCTTTTTAGTCATTAAGCTACAAACTCGGTTACTGAGTATAAAAATCAATGCTTTAACTTCTCTGAAGAAGAGTGCAGAGTATGGTATACCTGTAGAAGCTTCCATCTGATGTTCAGGTCATCCAACTGGCGAGCGGTTTTTGCAGATGGCTGAATAATCTAGAGCAGAAATCCGACTAGCCACATCATTCACTGTGTTCACTTTTGAGCTGATGGGTGCAATTTCCTCTCCAAATGCCTGTCACAGGATAAAAGACAAATATTTCTAACTTTAGTGCGCAGTGAAAATCTTTGAGAAGTTGATATTTGAATAAAGACCTGTTCACAACTGTACTCTTGCTAGCAGTTTAATACGTTTATTTTTACTGCAGCTAAATGCATAATAGCAAAAATTACATAAAGCAGAAATCCAAACGTCTTTTCTTGTTTTGGATAGAGCATGGGGAGAATTAAAACCTTTTGTTAAAACTGTGAGTGTCCTTGTGGAGGAGAATAACCTTCACTATTTGTCCTAGTGACTGTTCTCAATTAAAAGTAAAGAAAAATTCTGAGTTTTAAAAATACCCCCAGAGCAGAGGTAGCCAGGATATCTTCCAATGAGTATAATAGTTCAGGTGACAACTGTCAAAGATAGAATTTTAGGGAGATTTCCACACACCTTCTGTGTGGCAAGTGTGCAAGCCTCTTGCCCCAATGTCCCCTAAAAATATAAGTAAATTAAAATTTAACCAGAACACATTTTAAAATTGTGGCACTCCATAACAGTGATATCATATCTCTTTGTTTTTTATTACAAAATCATAAAAACCCTTTAAAAGACATTGACAGAAGCACCTACACAAATAACCACCAAATATTAGCCACCTATTAATTTTGCTCCATTAAGATATCCCTTCTGTATCACCTAATGATAACTGACATTTGTATAATAACTCAAAGAAATCCACAAATGTCCTGCTTGAAGTAAGATAATGAAAGACAAGGGCAGGGACTCTCTTTTTGTTTCTTGGATTAACATACATTTTGTCAAGAAATACAGAGCTGTTTTTGCACTGCTCAAAGAAATTAAAGAAACACTTTTTAATCAGAGTATATCATCAAGTCAATTAAACTCCTGGGATATGTTTTTTTAATACATTCAATTAAAATATTGAATAAAAAAAAAAAAGACCTAAAATTCTAACTGGACAAAGGCACAAATTTGTACATTTTTGTTTATTAAAAATCTTACAAACAGCGTACTAAAAATATATTTACATATATACAGAATAAATAAAAATAAATATATATATCCACTGCTCAGAAAAATTAAAGGACCACTTTTTAATCAGAGTATAGCATCAAGTCAATTAAACTTCCAAGATATTGATCTGGTCAGTTAAGTAGCAGAGGGGGTTGTTAATCAGTTTCAGCTGTTTTTTTTTTTTTGATGGTAATGAAATTAACAACAGGTGCACTAGATGGGCAACAATGAGACGACCCACAAAACAGGAATGGTTTTACAGGTGGAGAAATTTTTTTCCTTACTCATCTTTTCTGACTGTTTTTCACTAGTTTTGCATTTGGCTAG